ATTCTTTAAAAGTGGCAGCTAAAAAAAAAAGTGGCAGCTAACAGGGTTACTAGAGCATGGATTTAATAACAGCCCAAAGTAACAGCTGGATCTCTCTCATGGACAGTGGTCTTCAAATTTCTATTTCTAGTTTAACCTTTATTCAGGCTTTAAATAATGATTTCAAACTACTTGCAGAATTCTTTACACGTATGTCCCACCGGTACCTCCAACGCAACACACCTAAATATAACTTATTTGTCCCCCTTCTTATACACAAAATAGATTTTTCTATTCTTATGTTTGTTCATATGATTACTTCTTTCTGGAATAGTCCCGTTTCTGCCTCCTTTAAGCTTCTTCACTTATTGTCTCTGAAGCTTTTCCTAGTCAACCTAGACAGGCATAATGTCTCCCTTCTTCAAAATTCTACATCATTTAGACTGATTTCACAAAACAGAGTTTACTTTGAATTATAGCATAGAATTTGGCATATTTGTATTTTTATAGGTCACATATGGATTCACTGAGAATAAAAACCCTGTCTCGTTTTTATACAGTCAGTAGATCTAGTGTATGCTAAGTATGATTTTCAGTAAGGTAAAAATTTGCCTAGCTTACAAATAAATATAAAATTAGTATGTATCAAAGATTTTATTCAAATACTTAATAAAGAACCAAATAATAATTCGAAGAACAAAGACTTCTATAGTCAAAGGCATGCTGCATGCAAAACCGGTTAATGCCCTACCCGGCAATAAATTGTAATTTTCCTTTCTGCTGAAAGGAAATCAATTGCTCCTCTGAACAATGAAATTCATTTCTGTTGCTGTATTCTGGAATCATTTGCCTTGTCTTCAGACAAGAATCATCTTCATTGCTTTTGGTTTTCTACAAGTTAACCTTCACTCTACAGTGTTGTAGAAAAAATATTAAAATTTGTATTTAAACAATACTCTAGTACAAATACAAAATGTCAAAGAGTTTATTTAACTTATATCTAATGAAGAAACCAATAAGATTCTATAACCAAATCAAAAAAATAAAAGCACATACACTTGACAAGTACGGTCAAACAAGGAATGCTGAAATGAATCATAAATTGATCAAATAGGAGCCAATGTCCATGGAACAATAATCAATGCATTCCATGTCACACAATGGACATTTGTGAGGACAAGATTAGTTTGCATTACACTTAATTAGCTACAATTTACAGAGTTATGAAATCAACTAAAAGCTCTTGACGACACAGAACTCCTAGAATTGGAGAGCTGCAAGGTCATGCTAGACAACCTATCTTTCCACTGCAGATTCTCAGCAATCTTTTCTTTCCTTCCAAACTCTTTTAGTTTTCCCTACATTAGTCTGATTGGAGATAGTACACAGCCTGCAGAATCAGATAAGCCCCCCGGGGTCCACTTGCTGCATGACACCACACTGAAAGAATGTCTGGTTGTCTCTTGTGCCTATTTCCAAGTTTGGGTAATGTTCCTTTACATTCAGAACCTTACACAGAGAACTTGTTAAACAACTGTTTTGGGGAGTTAATAATACTTTTAAGTAAACTCTGTAGTTCGAATTTAGCTGTACCAAATCTGAGATATCTCTGGAGACTCAGACTGATGGGAGCATGATGCCTGTGACATGAATGCAGTATTTATAGAAATGGAGCTTTTTATAAACTTCTGTTCCCTTGTATTCTTGCTAGCCCTGAGATGCCTGAAAATGAAGCCACCTTCGCAATAACTGCTGGAGGAATCGGGGATGCCAAGGAGTAGGTGGCGAATTGATGCAAATTGCTTCTCAGTGCTTATTAGGAGCTGAAGAAATGGAAAAGCAGTCTTGACTTTCAGATCTTGAAATAAGAGTTTGGGTGGTTTTTTTTTTTTCTTCATGTTATTAAAGGAAAGTTAGCAAAGGAGAGTTAAACTTTATATTTGTATTAAAGAATAAAACCGCATAGTGCATGTTGATTCAGGAATCTACACACTACTCTTGAACCGTTTATGATGAATATATATATATGAAGCTGGTTGGTGAAGGGGTCCCTGATTCCCTTACTCCCTCACTGAGCAAACAGTCTAGGATCTCAGAAATGGGCTCTCCTGCAGACCTCCCCCCAGTATATCGCTGACGACAGAGCTCAGTGTTTTTCCCAGCAGGAAGATGTATTAGGACATCAGGAAAACTCTTTGCATTCACGCTATCCCTATTCACCTTCATAACAACTGAAATGCGACGCTAAGCCAAAGTTTAATCATTTGATTTTTTGACAAGATGAAATTACTTTTTAAAAATGTACTTGTAATCAGGTAAGGTGGT